ACCCTTAAAAAGCGACCCTTATTAGAGATTAATATAAAAAATTTAGTAATGCGAAGAAAATGATTACACCTTGGAACGATTTGCATAAAAATTTGGACTTAAGCTCAACTCACCCTCTGCTTTATAGTTTATGTCATGCCGATGAACCCTGATTGTTCTTAGGGATGAAAACTACCCCTAATTTTCAAAAATTGTAAAATAATATTATAAATCTTAAGATGAGTGAAATTTGGTTTGGATTAGTTAAATATTAATTTTTTTATACTTTAAAATACAAATTCATATATTTTCAACCCTTAAAAATCAATTGTTATGAGTGCTATAGGTGAAAACAATTTTTTGCCAAAATTTTGCAATTTTTTAACTTTTGAAAATCACCCTTTACAACATTGCAGTTTTTATAAACTAATTTATAATTATAATTTATAATTGAAAAAAGTAGAATTAAATACAAAAAAATTTATCAACATAAAAAGGCACCATATATTCTTATACATTTACAAAAATAGTAGAAAATATTTACATTTATAGGTAAAACAATTATAATATTAATTTTATTCGTCATCAATTATATCTTCATCGTGATCTATGTCATCCTCATCTTCAATTATTGGTGGACTATTATTGCACCCTTCACCTGAGCACCCAGAACAAGTAGAGTTACAGTATAAACCAACTTTTCTGCACCCACATGAAACACCGCATCCTTTTTTGCATTGCCAAAAAATATTTTTCAAAAGTTCATCGAGTGCAGGTTGTTTGTTCATGCGTACGGGTAATAACAAACCATCTTTGGAATACCATCCCCAATCTGTTGCTCTAATATTTTCATTGCCAAGCCATAGACATATGAGCAGATGTTTTATTCTGTTGTATGGGATTTCAAAATAAGAACGCTTAAAATTTCGAATGTATAACGCCCCACTAGCTAATATACCGGTTTGTAGATTATTATGCTCCGAAATGTACTGTACTATACTAATAGAATTTTCCGGAAAAAAATTCACTGGTTTTTTTAATGTATTTCTTTTAATTTTTAACGATAGAGTGTTTCTTCAAAAACGATTTGTAAAGGTTTTTAAGAGCTACAAGGATCTGTGAATTAAATCTTTTTGGAACCCTTGGTTTTTAAATGGAGTGAGTTTAAAGGGCTCGAAAAAGATGTTGCTTGATCGTAAATCGATGCTTTAAACGGCTATATCTCGCCAAATATTCATTGTACAACAAATCTAAATGAAGGATAATTTTAGTCATTAAAAAAGCTACAATTTGGTAATTTTTATTTTTTCATATATTCAGTATTTTCGGGCATATTTAAAAAAAGAAGGGTAAAAAATATGAAATTGTAAATCGTTTCTCGCTTTAAGCTGTACTTTTTCTAACACAAAGCATTTTAAATGGGTCAAACTTCTTGGACGTATTAACAATACATGTACAAAGGGAATTTCAGAAGGGTAAAGATCGATTTTAATTATGGAGGAGGTTAGGGTGTTGTTTCGATTTTTTCGTAAAAAATGAGGTATTGACCTTATTTTCATCATAACTCACTCAATTTTTGAGCTAGAGTCTTTTTTATGATAGGTCTATTTATGCTCTTTAAAAAAAGGTTTTGTGAGTTTTCTTCCAAAAATGCATCATTTTCCCGATATTTGATTTTGAATCTTTCAAATTTGGCATTTGAAGAAAACCGCTGAACATTCCGTATTTCGGTTCCTATTATATCCCAAAAACATTTTAAAAAATGAATTGCATTTGTCTTTTTAAAAGCTACAAATTTGTTCTCTACAATTTTTTTGATAAAATGCACCATTTTCGAATTATTCGCGAAAAATCGATTAAAAACGTGGATTTTTTCGTCTAAAAGTTATTACTTTCAATCGCGAATAACTTGAAAAATATCATTTTATAAAAAAAATGTATAGCACATTTTTTGTTTAGAATCACTTTTTTAATCGAAACCTGTAGTTAAAACGTAAAAAAAAATTTCACCCCGGAGATGGGAGATGTGGCAACCACCCCCTAGGCTTTGGCGCACTTTGGTTCGATATAGATTTTGATCCTTAGGCTATTACCTACCTTCTGTTAAATTTCAAGTCAATCCAGGGAGCAAGAAAAAATTGCGAGGTGAAATGCTTCATTTCCTGGACTATAACTGGTTTGACAGCATAAATCGTAGATTTATGTGTAGCTTTCAATTTTTATGAGTTCAGAATCCAGCAGCCCGCTGAAGTATGGGATTTTTATAATATAATTATTTGACAATATTTTGTTGGCCAACCACCTACAGCAGAATTGAGCCGAAATACATTATATTCCTATGTTCCGAATTTATTTCGTTCAATCTGTATAATAATACTTATGTTTAAGGCATATGTTTATATGCTTCGCTTCAATAATACTTATGTTTAAGGCACACGTATTAAGTTAAAAGAAATATCGGTTTAAAAGCAAAAGAAATTTAGAATTTACTGTATATACTACTAGAATTTACTTTAGAATTTACTATAAATACTATTACTATACAATAATACTAATACTTGTCTCAGACTGAAACTAGATGAGAAAGGAACAATTAATAAAATAATCAAAGAATTTTTCAGGTACTTTGAAGTGCAATATCTTTAATTCAGTAATCATCATCGACAAGTTTTTTATGGTTATTTATTATTATTGATTTATTCTGATTGATTACGTCCTTGTTTACTGTGCTTCTGAATGTATAAATAAGTATAATACATTTAAATAGATGAGCATCTCTCAAAATAGACACGTGGGTACCGAAATAATAATTATTATTGTGTTCTGTTGGTGTTGTAACTGACTGTATTATGCATAGTCTACCTACATACTTTTAGATTTAAACATATTGTTTATTTATTTAAACCTACATAACTCGTCCGAAATAGTCGCTAAAATTAAAAAAAAAGAACAAAAAATATGAATAGAATACACAAAACTTTCTCAAGTAAAATATTTCAAAATGTGCAGAAGTGTTTATGTGTGGGTGTTGAACAGCATTCAGAATATTTGAATAAGTTTTGTTATATTTCATCAATTTTATATAAAGAAACATACAGACACAGAAACCAATAAAGAGGACACACAGGGATCGAAAATCTAAATTGAAATATATGTAAAAGGGCCATAGATTCGATTTAATATTCGAAAGCCTACAAAAAATTGTTCAGATAGCGGTATTAAACAATATTATTATAGTCAATCCTAGCTCGACTATGCTACTTTCTTTTCTTTTGTTTTGTAAAAATAACAGTTTATATTGATCTGTATGCTGGGTAAAATGTCAGAAGAAGTTCTTAACAAGCAAATCGGTTATTTTTCGTTTCCAAATTACTGTGAAAGTTATTGTTAAAACATATGATGCAGGATGCATATTATTATACAATGGTATATGTGCCAACAATTGTAAAAGTGTCATAGTCCTGGCTTCTCTCTAGGTTGAAAAAGTTGCTACTTTAACAGTATTCGGATTATACTTAACGAACAGATAATACCGTGTTTTCGATACCGATAAAAATACTAATATTGTCACGGTTAGTCTCTCTTCTGAAGCAGTCCTTCATTTATTATATACACAGATCTAACAACTATAAGACTAAACACTGACACCGCTTTTCTTAATTACACTATTATGTAGTTTTGTGGTGGATGTGAGAAGTGGCAATCTGATTTTTTTAGAAAAAGTTGAGAGATAACTTCAATAATAATGATTGACTTATCCTCCCTCTGAAATAGGTCGGAAATATTAACCTGGGACTGCCCCTGGGGTCCACACGGATACGCTATATTTTCAAACCTCTCACATCTTATCGTTTTTAAATGGAGGGGATATCAGTGTATTGGTACTTTTCTAGGAAGTGTAAATTCAGTAAAGTTTTATTTCAATTGTTAAAATGGATGACCTTATCGACGTTCAAGCGCTAAAGGATATTTTGAGGTAGGCTCTGAGTTATTACTTTAATTTTGTTTTATTACGTTACTAACAGCTGAAAGTTTATAAGAATATACAGTTTGATTAATTTATGTTTGTGCAAGTTGCATTTATTTGAAACTTTTTTATGCCGTACCCATATGAACCCCGTGGACACCTAAAGTTTTTTTTGTTTCAGTCCTGGATTTTCGCTACAGGAAGCAATAGAGCTTATTTTAAAAAACGATGATAATATAGCTAGAAAAAATCTTTGTTGAACCTCCACCAAGTAATGTACTTACTGATGAAGAATCTGGAGACGAGGATGAAGGCGGAACTTTTCTACATTTACCTGGCAAGCAACTTTTAGCACCTGCAGAGCGATTCAAGAGAATTTGTTTAATCAAAGATTGTTTAAATAATTATACAGCTTTCGAATAGGAATATTTGTATTTAGAGCGTTAAAAGGTACACGTTTGGTAACTTCGTAACACAACTAAAGCATCTTTGGAATTTGATAATGCGTCATTTAGATGTCTCTATTCGAGTTACATCGGATTAAAAAAGAAGAAGAAAATTGTTACATTTAAAGCCTAGAAAATACATTACTACGTATACTACATACACCCCTAGTCTATGTACAATGAGTCCAATCATAACCATAAATTTATAATATCTTATCAAAATCGAAATATAGTTAAGAAGATGAAAAATAAAGTAACTGAAACGAAATTCAAACAAAGAGTAGTCTTTCACGACCAGTGTTTTCTAATAATATATCGCTTTGCGAAAGCTAAAGGCCGTGGTCAAGAATTATTTCTTACTCACTTTTCGTCTGCGATTATAACATAGTTGTCTTTCGAACGGAGGTTAATCGCTGAAATAGTTCTCTTCCCTCAGGCCATCCTCACTCCTCAGAACGACAACTCGGATCGTTGTCTGTTGTCATATTATGCCTAATCGTTATTTATTATTACTTGTGTTATAATATTATAGTTATTATAATATCACAGTTAGAAATCTGTATTTTAATTAGTTTAAAAGTAAAAATAGTGATATAAAAATGACTTACATCTTCAAGTATGAAAGACCAATCCTTGTCTTCCAGCTCGTTCGTTCTAGGATCTTTGAAGAGCGTAACCGCAACCTGGTGGTTTTCGGGAACAGGCCAAACTACTAAACCTTTGTACGGGTTTTGTAGAGTTCGTTCCCAGTTCATTGGTACAGAAGTAACTCTTCTCGATCGCCTCGACCATACTAGCAGCAATTTGTGGGGTTCCCTAAGCATAAAAAATAATTTGTTAGTTCAGAAAAGAGTTCTTTTATTATCAATTAATATTATTACCAATTTTTCCCTTACAAACTAAATACAACCGATTGTAGTCTTTAGAAAAATATGTAAAATAAGAAATAATTAAGTATACCAATAATATCCACAGTATATCGCGAGATTTAAAGTAGAACTACCATACTAAATAAATCACCAGAAATTTATCAAATTTCCAGTGAGCTCTACAAGAATGGTAGCGAGGCTTTGCTACAGATACTGTGTAAACTTTTACTTTTTGCAAAATGAGACCATGCACCATGAATCGTTTTTTATCATTTTTCCCCTTTGTATATCATTTTAATTTCATAAGGTTTTTAATTACGCCTGCCTTTAAACCTAAAGGTCGTGAGTTCGAATCCCATCTTAATGGAGAAATTTTCGTTTATTAAAAATTAATGAATGAAAATAATTTCTATCCATGTGTGATCGGTACTCATCGGAGGGACCGCAGACGTTCGGATACAATTAGCGTCTCTTAGCAAAGACAATGACGTCGACTTTGCTAAGTATCAAGACAATTACTCTACACACACACACACACTACACTAGGTACCTGACTGTACCATGCCAATGATCATAGTTGTCGAGGCATTAACTCAATAAAAAAAAAATTACCACTTCGAAAATTACGTCTTAAAATCTTAATAAAAGAATAAGCACAATCTAAATGTTTATTTATAGCGCCAGATGCCCTACTTTTATTTCGTTTTTCTCTCTTAATCCCGTATGAATTTTAAAATAATACAGGGTCCCGTATTTCCTCGGGGAGTTTGAGAACACATTCTGATTTTGACGACGTCTCGCTTGCTTGACCACACCTTTGCCGATATAGGTGTTTCTTTGGTAGTTTTTGTGTTTTTATTTTTGAGAAAGCTATAATATGGTTGTCTTTAGATAAAGCCATATAGACTATAACCAAAGTAATGGTGAAACAAACATAATTCACTGAAAGTTATTCTATTTCTGGTATTTCTGCTAAAGAAGATTGACAAAAGCCGAAATTTTCTTAATGTACTCTTCATCAAAGTATCCCGTGATTAGTAGTGAGGTGTTAAAAAGATCTATCAGTGTGAAAAATGTTAGAGAAATGTTAGACTTATTCAACTCTATTTGTTGAACCTTGGACGATCAGTTTTGAACACTAAATTTGCTGTTTATCGTCAGGTCTCCGAAAGGTTACTTAAAATTATGCCGGTTCAAAAAATGTAGTAACCTAGTTGCATACTAAACGCTCATTTATGTTATGTTGTTAAAATAAGACATTTACATTGTCTATTGTGATTAATCTATGCTACTGGCAAGAATCACCGTGTTATCGGCATATTTTATGTTGTTAGTTAACTCACCGTTTTTCTGAATGAACTTTGTTGCATTTTCAAGACTTCTTTTAAATATTTCCTCGGAGTGAAATTGAAGAGGAGTGGCGATAAGATACACCTCTATCGGACACCTCTTTTGATCTCCACACTTTCAGTAAGTTTATTGCATATTTTTAGTCTTGCTGTTTGAACCCAGTATAGGTTTACCACAATTACAATATCCTTGTAATCAATATATATGTCTTTTGTAAAATATGTTTTAGTAGTTCATGATTGATATTGTCAAATGCATTTCGAAAATCCACAAAACACAAATACACATCCTTGTTAATGCCTATACACCGCTGTATAAGTACCTGGAGAACTGCTTCTCTAGTTCAAAGTACTTTCCGAAAGCGAAACTGCGATATATCAATATTTGACTCACATTTATCATATTCTTCTATGAATGATCTTGGTGAACACTTATGTGATTGATCAAGCTTACAAGTCGGTGGTTTGGTATTGGATTTCTTTGATCAGTTTATAAATTATGAATTTAGCAAATAAACATCTTTTTTTTTCTTTCTTTTTTAAAGACATTGCACCCGTTTTGGTCGTTAGAATGATCCCCTTCCAGTCTCCATGTTCGCCTTCATTCTTTAACTTAGCCCATGTACAATTACTACAAGCTTAATAATATATACCTTTCCTAATTTAAGAGTATTTCAAACAGAAATTAAACATCAACTTCGCATCTTTAGATCTATTCACATACAACCTCCGTATTACTGATAAGATTTATTTGAAAATATGATGCCCCTTTAAAGTTCTACGAATAATGGGCTGACTGAAAATACCTGAATATTTTCAAGAAAGGCTGAATCACCTTTATGCGGTTCTAAGAACTTTAATAATGTTAATAGCAAGATTAACTCAGAAATGTTTAATACATATATTTTGGTAACCATATTTAGGTAACAATATAAGGTAATCATATTTTGGTGTGACCTACATATTGACTCGGAATTGCGAATAGAAATGGAATGTTCGTAAATCCTATTTTGAATTCTACGATTTGTTTGGCCTATATAGGATCGGGGGCAGTCTGCACAAGGAATTTTATAAAATCTATGTTGTTCATTTGGAATGTTGTCTTTGATTGATCGGACAAGAGATGAACGTTTTTGACGGGGGGTAAATATCGTCTTTATTCTATTTGATTTAAGAATTTTGTCGATTTTGTCAGTGACCCCTTTAATATAAGGTAGAAAAGCTTTCGTATTATGAGGGTCTGAGTCATTGGATTGAGTGGGAGATGTCTGTCCGTATGTCATATATATATATATATATATATATATATATATATATATATATATATATATATATATATATATATATATATATTTTATATATATATATATTATATATATATATATATATATATATATATATATTTTATATATATATATATATATATATATATATATATATATATATATATATATATATTATATAAAACTGTTTTTGATGGGTTGGAGTCAAAAAAGACTCCAACCCATCAAAAACAGTTTTATATTTTTTCCAAACGAGTCACAAGTACTTCTTTTTTCTTACTCTTATATATATATATATATATATATATATATATATATATATATATATATATATCTTAGAAAGGGCTTTAGTGACTATGTGAGTAATATATACGGATATATTGGGTTTAGTAGTCAATATATTGGCCTTTAAGTAAAACTCTTTTAGGTTTGCTAAGCTTTCGAGTTTATTTTACTCTTTTTCAAAACATACTAAAAATTAACATAAAAAAATTACATTAGAAAAATGAAGTTCTTATGTCTTCAATAGGCTTACCCTTGTGAGAATTGTCTTTTAAAATTAGCAAAATTTTACATTTTGTCATTATGTCATTAACATAATGACATTAAATTTGATTTACTTTTTATTTTTGTCAAAACTTATTGCTAAGGTTTCCATATCTCTTCTATTTTTTATATTTATTTTAGGTGAGTTTGACAGAGGAAGTGTCTATGTTTATGCAAACCTTCATTGCAAATTTTGATATAATATTACAGTTTTTAAACAAGCAACAGAGTTTATGTTACTAAGTATTTAAGAAAGAAAAAATACAAATAAAAATAAATTTTATCTCATTTGAACTTGGAATAATCCCTTTCATATGCGTAACTTTTAAGAACTTTTATATTGTTATTCTTTTATTTAAAAGAAGATTACTGTATATAGCACTAAGATTTTCAATGTCTTCTCTTTTGTTTAAGGTGTTTTGTGTAGTTTTAATTAAACACATTTCTAGAAACAGTCTTTTGTTGTAATTTCTTTCTCTTCTCAATATTTCTGTTTGATCATAGTTAGGCGTATGGCCCATTGTAATACAATGTTCACTTAATGCACAGGCTTGTACTTTATTCAGATTAATATCACTCTTGTGAGATGTTAATCTTCCGGACAAATTTCTGGACGTTTCTCCAATATATATTCTATTACAATTATTACAGGGTAGAGAGTATACTACATTGGAGCTTTCTCTATTATTTAAGGGTGTTTTAAGTTTAGTATATAATTTCGATATTGTTTTTATATTTCTGGTTCCAATTTTGATATTAGGTACTTCTCTAAATGTATTAAGTAGTCTATTTGTTAAACCTGGAATATATGTAGTTAGTTAGTAACATAAACTCTGTTGCTTGTTTAATAACTGTAATATTATATCAAAATTTGCAATGAAGGTTTGCATAAACATAGACACTTCCTCTGTCAAACTCACCTAAAATAAATATAAAAAATAGAAGAGATATGGAAACCTTAATAAGTTTTGACAAAAATAAAAAGTAAATCAAATTTAATGTCATTATGTTAATGACATAATGACAAAATGTAAAATTTTGCTAATTTTAAAAGACAATAACTCACAAGGGTAAGCCTATTGAAGACATAAGAACTTCATTTTTCTAATGTAAATTTTTTATGTTAATTTTTAGTATGTTTTGAAAAAGAGTAAAATAAACTCGAAAGCTTAGCAAACCTAAAAGAGTTTTACTTAAAGGCCAATATATTGACTACTAAACCCAATATATCCGTATATATATATATATATATATATATATATATATATATATATATATATTGTAGTCTTATTTGAATTTCGCGCCATTGACAGATCTGATTGTCACTCAATTTGAAAAAAAAGAAGATAACCACACTTTATGTTTAGACTTGAGACTTGTGATTATGAATTATGGCCATCTGAATGTTATGAAAACTATTATGTCGAATTATGTACAATTAGTGTTTCTTTCCGCTAAATAAACTTAAGAAAACTAGAACAATATTATTTATTAACGGAGCCTACAGAATCAGAAGTGGGATTACGTGGATCGCCGATATTTTTGCAGATTTAAAAATTGTGTTTAGTATTGACGATAGCCATGCCGGGATCAGACACCGAAATTGAAAATACAAGTGGAAACACCGTCGCTCAGGCGAGTATAGCTGAAATTGTTCATACAGCGGTACAGGCAATCCTCGATTATGAAGAGAAAAAGAAAATTGCCGGTCCAGAAAATCAGATGCCGACACATAACCCCATAAAAATTACTAACAGTGAATTATCAAA